CCCCAAAACCCCAAAACCCCAAAACCCCAAAACCCCTGTTCTTTGTAGTTTATTGGGAGAAATAAGTATTCTAAAAATGTGATAATTTGAGAAAGAGAGAATGATTGGAATCGATAATTCAGAGTGGATAAAGGCTCTATAAAAGCATATGAGATTAAGATATCTTAAATTTGTTATGTATTTCCAAATCTGTTCCTATTGTATTACTTTGATTTTGCCTGCATTACACTTTCTGATCCTTTTTCTTTCATCAAGAAAATCACTTCAAGAGACATAGTCCAAAGAAGATTAGCAATATGAGAACCATAAAGACTGGGCTATATATCAAGGCAAAGAGTAATGAGAGAGGAACTAACAGAGTGTATCCTAATCAACGTAGACTTCTTCTTCTCCTTCAATTCCTTTTAATTTCTTTGAAATTTAGATAGACCAAGGTCATTGGGAATATAACAGTTAAGAACCCTTTTGAAAACCTTGCACATAGAGAATTGTCTTCAGGAAGCTTGCCTTTAGAAGGAGAATACTTCTCTTTTTTATCCACTAGTCTCCATCCAAAAGTTTCTCCTCAGACTTTGCAATTCATGACGTCTCATCCTTTATTTTTTTCGATTATAGATTTTCATTTAGGGCAATGCTTGACAACTTTATTTCCTTTGGTACATAATCATTCCTTTGTCCCTAATATCCTCACATTTTTGATTGGGATGCCAAGGCTCGTGACATCCAGTGCAGAATGTAAAGGATCATTCTCAGACAGCTTTGAATTTTTCTCCAGCCTTAGCATTTGGACACGTGACGTAATTATCTCAATCAGGTCTTGGACACCAAAATAAAGAAGGATTTTTATTCACCCAATCAGATTTTTTGAAAAATTTTCTATTTTTCTAAAGCTTTCTTGCTGATAATGCTGTTTACAGTGGGACTGGGAACAGACTTTGCTCAAGAAGGACAAATATGATCGAGTTTTCTTATCTCCACTTGGAAAGTAAAGTACTGCTTTAATCACTCCGATCAGAAGTAGTGTCCTCATTGGAGATTGATTTGGTCTTTCAAATCAGATAATCAAATGGCTCACTTCGTTATTCGTCTATTCTAAAACCTCTATTAGAATGTTGCATTTTGATTGAAACTTACACTCATTGGCTTTCGAATGTTTGACTGGGTTTTTATCATATCTCGATAGTTCCTATTTAGTGCAATTTTTGCTAACTTAAATCTGTTATATCCATTCTTCTGTTCTTTTTCTTTTTCTGTTTCTTTCGATTTCTCATAAGTCTCTCGATTAATAGCATATCCATTCTTCCTTGGCCTTCCAGAGGCAAAAGTAAGAGTCTCTGTTCGATTCTTATTTTTTCTGCTTACTTGTGTGTCAGCATCCTGCTTGCTTGCCTCATAGTCTTTGATGAGGGAGTCTTCATCGACTTGGTCATCTCCACTTTTGGGTGCAAGAGGCTCCATTAAGTTTGGCAGACTAGCTTTGATTTGCTATGCAAGGTTAGATTAAGTTTGAACACAAAATGAACCAACTGTGAGATATGATATGATAGATATTATTGTTAAAATCCTTCGTTTAACTCACTTTCATAATTAATATGAGAAGTATCAATAATCTCTAGCTCATATGGGGTTTTGGGGTTTTGGGGTTTTGGGGTTTTGGGG